TTAGGGTTTCGGGTTCAGGGTTTACCTATATGCACTTTACTGCTTCGGGTTTTCCATCCTTACAGCTCTGGTTGCAGGCTTCCGGAAAATCGAGGCCCGATGAACAACGACGCAGACCCCACATGCAGCCGAACCAGACACCCGAAACCTATGCGGAACCCTATACCCTAAACCCTTGGTGGTAACACTGCTACGATGACGACCTTTGGAAGAATCTGAGATCTCCCGCGTCCAAGAAGTCTGCACGGGAAATATAGCCATTGTTGCTGCGGTCCTCCAGGTTTGGCTTTGGGGTTTGGGTTTACTGTTTGGGGTTTAGATTTTGGGTTCCGGGACTATTGGTCTTGTTGCGATTCAGGGTTGGGGTGTAGACTTTTGAGCATGAGGATGTAATTCTTGGCGGGCTAGATGGAGCCCTCAATGCAAGAGCAAGAGTGCTATGTCACATCGTAGAGCCTTTTGCTGGATTCATGTCCGAACTTTCAGGATCTGAGCTTTTGCTTTTGGGATTCGGGGGCTTCGGGGGTTCATTCAAAAGGATGCCCGAGACCAGACTGTAGCGTCGCCCTAGCCCTAAACCTTAAACTTCTAGTGGTTAGGGTATCGAGATGGTCTGCAGTGGGTCAGCTCAAGCCACAGACAGAGGTCGTGGACAAGGTGACATCTTGGGTGACAACCGCGAAAAACGGGGTGAAGCAACCCTTTGATTGAGAGTTCGAAGAGACTCAAGACCATTACATAATACATATATATGTATATATACGTAAAATATGTATGTGTGTTTATATGCATACATCCGTATACACATACGTACATACACACATACANNCATACATACATACATTCACATACATTCACATACTCACATACATATACATGTACTTATACATGTACTTATACATATACGTATACACACACATGCGCATATATGTACGCATATATACATATGCATATACATGTACATATGCATGCTCATACACCTGTACATATAAATCTACATATAAACACATATACATTTACATATACTTACGCATGTACATGCACATATACACATATATGAACGCAATGAAATAACACACACTCACACCCCACACACGCGCACACTCACGAACTATGTTCGGCAAGCACACCAAGCCGCGCCGCGATACCTAGGCACAGTTAGATAGACGATTAGACACATAGATAGGTACACAGATAAGTAGATAGATAGATAGATAGATAGATAGATATTGCACATACACATATGTATGAGTAGATAAGTTTATGAATAAGGCTATATATATATATGTTCGTACATACATAACTACATATGTATATATATATATATACACATGTGTGTATGTATATTCAGGTGGATAGGTGGATAGACATATAGGTAAATGAATAGACATATAGATGGGCATATATACATATAAACAACAACTAACAATGTATGTGTATATACTGTTCTTTATATTACATACATAGTTATATACACACATGAACCGATACATAAATACACTCCTACATGTGTATACGTAGATGTACACTATACATATATATATATATGTACACGCACACATACATGTGCATATATATATATATATACATATGTATATAGTTCATGTTGTATATATATAAGATACATGCACATATATATATATATGTCTATATGTATATATGTGGTTACCTCGACATATACATACGTGGTCGAAACCAAAAACCCTGCCCGGCGCTCCAATGCACGAAACGCCATCCGCAAGTTCGCGAAGTTTTTTCCTCACAGTGGGAGAGGGTGTGGCTTTTCCCTTGCAGCGGGTGGGGAAGTTTAACGATTACGACCCTTGTGGCTTTAGGATTTTGGGGTGTAGGGTTTAGGGGTTTCGAGAAAGTATTGAAAAGGACGCCGACGGAATGGGGGTGTCAGCGACCGTTTTCTCAGCGACCGATGATCATGCTTAAAAAGAAACAGGTGCTAGTCTTGATACATTCGGACGCGCCAAACATAAAAGCATGACTTCACATGCAGAAATGCCGCTCAACAAATGGATGCAGGACATGATGCTACCCCGGCTAGCACTGCGACGACAATTGACGACAGTGACAATGACGACCTACCGCTGAAGATCAAGTCCAACATCAACATTTTGTTCTGCACTGCCTGCTGGTGCAAGTGTGTCGGTGGCCCCGCGCATGTGCTTTTCGACGGAACAGCTGTCATATGCGCATGCTTGCCGATGTTACAACTGTTATAGTGCACACTGGGTCTCAGTCTCTGCTTAGGAATCCCAGCGCAGAATCCCGGAAAACCTAAACTCACTCTAAACCCTAAACCAGCGCGGAATCCCCGAAAACCTAAACTGACTCTAAACCCTAAACCCTAAACTCACCCTAAACCCTAAACCCAAACCCTATAAACCCTAAACTCACCCTAAACCCTAAACCCAAACCTTATAAACCCTAAACTCACCCTAAACCCTAAACCCTATAAACTCTAAACTCACCCTAAACCCTAAACCCTAAACCCTAAACCCTATACACTCTGAACTCACCCTAAACCCTATAAACCCTATAAACCCTATAAACCCTAAACTCACCCTAAACTCACCCTATAAACCCTAAACCCTAAATCAAAAGAAGCTTCTGGGACCAGGCGACCTGATGCTTCGTTGCGTCGAGGTTCAGAGCTTGAGGATGTTGTCGTTAAGTACTACACCCTACCTTAAGAACCCAAAACCTACTTTTTTGTAGGGCCCCTATAAATCCCATATTAGGGTTTATAATAAGAACCTACAAAAAGTGGGTTTGGCGTTCTTAAGGTAGGGTTTAGGGTTTAGGGTTTGGGGTTTATAGGGCTTTTCGGGTTTATAGTGTTTATATGGTTTATAGTTGAAGCTCTTGGTCTGTCGAGTTTAGGGTCTGGTTGGCGTGGAGCGATTCGAAGTATGAAGCTACTAAAAAAAGAACAACACTAGGAACACATACACAAGAGACTCCATTTGTTCTTTTGTTCTTTTGGGGGTTTTTGGCGTGTCTGAAACCGTAAACCCACCAAAACCCTGAAGATTCCTTGCAGAAAGCCTATTTGCTACCTGGCATCGAAGCTTCTCGAGGACCATGTCGGCCATCTCCTCCCCCTTTTCCAAGCTTTCGGGCTTGGGCTTTGGGTTGGTGGTTTAGAGTTTCTTTTGTCGTCGGAGTTTCGGAAAGGGACCCGGCAAAACCCAAGTGAAGAAGACTTATTGTTGTCTGACCGCCCCATAAAGCAAACCTTTCTTCAACAATTCTGCGCAACCCTTAGCCTTGCGCAACCCTCATGACCCGGAACGTCATCCTCTCCCCACACATAACCCTAAACCCTAAACCCTCATTAAACCCCAAAACTCGAAGCCTCGAGCCCTGAACCCCAAACCCCTAAACCCCAAAGTCTGAGCCTCATGTAGAAGCCTAGACTAGGGTTTTTGAAGTATTATGGTACTATAATCATAATAAGGAACCCCCGAAATAGTAGGGTTTCGGGGTATATGGCACTATAATCACCAAAAGGAACCCCCGAAAATAGTCTTGGTAATTATTAAGGAACCCCAAAATAGTATTGGTAGTTAATAAGGACCACCCCCCCCCAAAAAA